TTTTTGAGGCTCTAGAATTTCCTTCTGTCCCCCAGGCTGGAGTGCAGTGGTGCAATCATGGCTTACTGCAGTCTTGAACTCCCAGGCTCAAGTAATCCTCCCACCTCAGCCTGCTGAGTAGCTAGGACTACAGACACATATGCCACCGTGCCGGCTAATTTTTGAATTTTTTAAATAGAGATAGGGCCTCACTATGTTGCCCAGGCTGGTCTCGAACTCCTGGGCCCAAGCAAATCACCCACCTTAGCTTCCTAAGTGTTGGGACTACAGGCCTGAGCCACTTTGCCTGGCAGGAATGGTTGGTCTTTTTTAAAAATTACTGATTTTAGATGTTCTTTATATGTGAGAGATAAGCTCTTTAGTGATATGAATTACAAATAACTTTTTTTAGAGTTTGTCATATTTTAATTTGTTTGCTTTGTATTTTTTGGCCATCAAGCATTTTTTTTAATGGTTAAATTTATCAATATTTTCTTTTATAGCTCCTGAACTTTGAGTTAATTTACTATTTAAAGTAAGTCATACATTGAATTCCCTTCCAGGATTATAATTTATTTTGTCCCTTTGAATTTAGCCAGACTTTTGGCCAGACCTACTGACTTTCATCTGTGATGAGTAACTTTGAACATATGTTACCTCACACATGTGCAAGTATGTCTGCTGGATGATTTTGGCGATTTATTCCTAGGGCCAGGGTTATGTGTGCTTTTAATTTTGGTAATTATTGTCAAATTAAATAAATGTATCTTTTAAGACTAAGATACTGCATTGCTAATAACTCGTGTAGAAATTAATGGTAATTTCTGTTCAAGATGCCAGATTGTTAAAACTTCTCCAGGATTAGAAAAGCTTTGGTTGAAAATAGAACATTCAACTGTAAATAAGAATCTTCTATTTTCATTGTGTACTGGCCTTCAAGGCACCAGAATTATACTTTAGAAATTCCTTGGGAGAATTTGGGTTATGTCTTACAATAAAAAATGTTCATGTTCTTTGTGCTCCCTTTTGATACCTACCCAGAAGCAGCCCATGTACAGTTGCACAAGGAAGCTGGCATGGATATGTTTGTTGCAGCCTTCTTTTTAATAGTAAAAAGCAGAAAACTACTTAATAATACCAATAGAGGACAAGCTAAATAACCATGGCAAATTCCTACAATGGTTATAGCACAAAAATAATTTGACAGTTTGTGTTTACTGATGTGGAAAGAGCTCTAAAATATTTTTTTAATGAAAGAAAAGTTGAAAGACAGTATATTAAATATATTACCAATTTTGTAAAAATAGATTAACAGAAATCTTATTATACATGGATACATGTACATGTATGTAAGTGAAGGTCTGGAAAAAACCTGTAAGAACACGTGCCAAAATGATAGTGATTGTCAATGGGAAGGGTTTGGGATTGGGTGTACTAATTTAGGACTTACACTACTTTTTTTTTTTTTTTTTTTTTTTTGAGACAGAGTCTCACTCTGTTGCCCAGGCTAGAGTGCAGTGGTGCTATCTTGGCTCACTGCAACCTCTCCCTCCTGAGTTCAAGCAGTTCTCCTGCTTCAGTGTCCCAAGTAGCTGGGACTACAGGTGTGCATGACCACGCCCAGCTAATTTTTTTTTTTTGAAACAGAGTCTTGCTCTGTTGCCAGGAGCCAGGCTGGAGTGCAGTGGTGCGATCTCCACTCACTGCAACCTCTGCCTCGCAGTTCTCCTGCCTCAGCCTCCCAAGTAGCTAGACTACAGGTGCACACCACCACGCCCAGCTAATTTTTGTATTTTTCAGTAGAGACAGGATTTCACCATGTTGGCCAGAATGGTCTTAATCTCCTGACCTTGTGATCTACCTGCCTTGGCCTCCCAAAGTGCTGGGATTACAGGCATGAGCCACCGCGCCCATTTTTGTATTTTTTTTTAGTAGAGATGGGGTTTCGTCATGTTGGGCAGGCTGGCCTCGAACTCCTGACCTCAGGTGATTCTACCTGCCTCGGCTTCCCAAAGTGCCGGGATTACAGACGTGAGCCACAGTGCCTGGCCACATTAATGTTTTATTGTTTTTACAAGGATAATATGCTCATAGATTGTACAACTAAAAGCCAATTTAAAATTTATGCTGGAAAAAATATGTTGTTTTTATGCATAGGTTCCTGTAAATGCAGAGAAAGACGGGGAGAAGAGCGTAAATAAGGAGACAGTAGTTATGTTCATGAGGGATGTGGGAACAGAGAAGGTAAAAGACATTGGCTTTTTTTATACTTCTGTGTTTTTATACTTTTATAAAGCAAATGCATTCATGTATTAACTTGTATGCTGAAGAAAGGACTAAATTCGGCGATAACTGCGCAGGCGCGGACAAGAATGATCTTTTCCTAGGATCTGGCAAGATGGCAGAGGTAGAGCAGAAGCGGAACTTCCGGAAGTTCACCTACCGCGGCGTGGACCTGGACCAGCTGCTGGACATGCCCTACAAGCAGCTGATGTTGTTGTACAGTGCGCGCGAGCGGCGGCGGCTGAACCGGGGCCTTCGGCGGAAGCAGCACTCGGTGCTGAAGCGCCCGCGCAAGGCCAAGAAGGAGGTGCGGCCCACGGAGAAGCTGGAAGAGGTGAAGACACACTTGCGAGACATGATCATCCTGCTCGAGATGGTGGGCAGCATGGTGGGCGTCTACAAAGGCAAGACTTTCATCCAGGTGGAGATCAAGCCAGAGATGATCTGCCACTACCTGGGCGAGTTCTCCATCACCTACAAGCCCGTGAAGCACGGCCGGCCGGGCATCGGGGCCAGTCACTCCTCCCGCCTTACCCCCATCAAGTAGTGGCTCTGCTAATAAAGGCACACAGATCTCCAAAAAAAAAAAAAAAAAAAGAAAGAAAGGACTAAATTCTTGAGGACCAGGAATTCATATAAGAATATCTCATTTTGTCAAGCTCATTTAACAATACTTAGTGAAAATAGTAGCTGCCCGTTGAATCACTGGGTGGAGAATAAAGGTGTCAACAGAAATACTTTACTAACTTGCTGATAATTAGGCATTAATTTGCTTGCTGTGATGCATGTTTATTACTTTAGGGCAAGGAATCTACTTATAAAAATAAGCAGATTCTCTCTCATATACCATCATAAACACTAGTAGTTTCTGGTACATTCAAGACAGTACACACAGTGAGACTGTTCTTGACCCGTAGCCTCACCTGGAATTTCCTTTTGTCTTCTGCTTTGTTACTACAACCTCTGCTGCAGTTTGGATGTCTCTCTAATTCTCTTTTCTTTGTTTACTAGTCTGGGATCAGATCTGTTCTTTTTATTTTAACTTTTTTTTTTTTTTTTT